AACTGCCGCTCACTGGATGTTTTTTCTTTTTCGGACCATTCTCTGTAAACCCTAGAGATGGTTGTGCGTGAAAATCCCAGTAGATCAGCAGTTTCTGAAATACTCAGACCAGCCCTTCTGGCACCAACAATCATGCCACGTTCAAAGTCACTCAAATCACCTTTCTTCCCCATACTGATGCTCGGTTTGAACTGCAGGAGATTGTCTTGACCATGTCTACATGCCTAAATGCACTGAGTTGCCGCCATGTGATTGGCTGCTTAGAAATTAAGTGTTAACTAGCAGTTGGACAGGTGTACCTAATAAAGTGACCGGTGAGTATATATATATATATATATATATATATATATATATGGGCTGCAACAACGAATCGATAAAAATCGACTTTTAAAAGCGTTGGCAACGAATTTCATCATCGATTAGTTGTGTCGCGCGATTAATGCGTCATCCGCCGCCGTCATCACATCCACTTGACTGAAACGGGGGAAGAAAAAAAATGACGGCAGAGCGAGCCAGCGCTGCAGGTGCAGTGTTGCCAACTCAGCGACTTTGTCGCTACAGTATATTTAGCGACTTTTCAGACCCCTCCAGCGACTATTTTTCAAAAAAGCGACTAGCGACAAATCTGGCAACTTTTTACGGTGTCACTGGCAGCTTTTTGAGACTCTTACGTGAAAGCATGTATTGTTCCTACTCTTGTCCTCCAGCGGCAGCTGCTGCCGTGGGGCGCCTCCTCCATCCCAACCCCGTTCTCCCGCAGGAATCCCTCTCAGCGCTGCAGTCAGAGCCAGGATGTTTACCCTCAGCGTCCAGACTGCAAATGAAGCGCGCATGCGCCGGGATTGACGGCGCAAATTGATCACAATAATTAAAATAGCCTTTATAAATAAATTAACTTGCAAATTATGAGGGCAAGGCTTTTAAAGTTTAAATCTTCTGGCAAAGATAAAGGAAAGAAGATCCTGCAATTTATGGAAGTAAAGCAGAATAAAATCCAGCAAGATCAGTAATATGTCAATTAATTATCTGCCACATTCCCATGTAAATATCTGTCTTTGGAGGATGTGTTTTTTAGCACCCCTAGTTCTCTCATTTTTATTCCAAATACAATTTATAATTTGAATCACAGGGCTATTTTTATCTGTATGGTTCAGTATTTTCTCAAGTAGCAACTTTAACTGTTATACTTTCCTGTCTTAAAAGGCAGAACTCTTCTAGTCTAAAAAACCCCATTTGTTGAAATGGGGGGGGGCTATTGTTTGAACCCCTTAGGGGCTTTTAAAAACAAAAATGTCTTTTTTTGCGCTTTATGAAACAAAGTAGCCTATATTTTGTGGATGTACAGCTACATTTCTCATGTAAGTTTGCGTAGTTTTAACACAAACATTTATTTTTCATATTGCACCAGTACAGTAATGAGCAACCTGTACTTGTGTGCTTGTTTGTTCTGTCTAAAATGTTTATTTTGGAATAAAGAGGTTAATATAAAAAATATTTTTTGTCCGATTCATCGATTTTTAAAATAATCGTTAGTTGCAGCCACATCTGGCCATCAGTTTTGGGGTCGTTGACCTGGAAAACGTTGAAGACCCCTGACCTACTGGACTGTTATGATACAGTCACCCAGCTAAGGGCCCTATCACACCTTTAGCCAGTGTATGCCCGATGTCCCACTTCTTTTATTTTACACTTCTGATCTTTAGTAAAATCCAAACAAATCGCATCCCTCTCTTTTTTTTCTTTTTTTACCTGTGAACAGCGAGCGCTGACATCACTATTTAGGTTCAAACCAAACCTTTAGCATCAGGTCAGTCACAACAAAATGCTTCTGTTCACACATCCTATAATCCCATAATGTCACAGCTCTCCGTCAGTGGTGACAAGCTAATGCTCTCCTCTCTTATAAAACGCTGCGTTCCTCCCCTGGCTTTAGAACGAGCTCTGTACGCTTTATAGATGCTTTCTATACGATCTGCATGCAACAATCTCTTTATCTCGTTCATCAGACACTAAAGTGTGATACGTTGTGGGGGACGGCTTCTGCTGGGTAAAGGTCACATAGGGCCCCGTCACACCTTGCTGATTTAGCCCCCGTATGCTTGACGTCCCAAAATCTTCTAAAACGCTGGCATACGCTAAACTTTATATGCACTTTTTTCCAATTTTTGACGTATACGTAGCGTATTCATAACGAGTCCAGAACTTATGTCCAAAGAGCCTAACTTATGCATTAAATTAGGAAGCATTAGTTACAGCTGCTCCCCTCAGGAGCAGCAATACACCTGGAGGCACCTGGCCTGCATAAGATTTATTTGATTGCGGTATTAACCTAGCCTCTATTTACCGCCTGCCCCCCCAAAAAGTAAAAGAAAAAGAAAGAAAGAAGGTGGCAGGTGGTGGGCGTGAACGCAGGGAGGATCCATCACTCTCACCTTCTGGCTCACCCTATGACGGGGATGAAGTCTGGATGAACCCCCTTATACCAAAACGCTGCCAATACGCCATTATACAGTAGCTGGAAGTTAGAAACACGTTCAGCGCTAGTCTGGAACACGGCAGATACGCTGATATGCGTTGGAGAGAAGTTCTGGATAAGTTACGCAGAAGTTACTCAGAGGTTTACGATAAGCTAGACGCCACGACTGAAGAGGAACTGACCCAAAACGTATCTCAATAATCTTAGTAATCGTAATTAAATTTGCTGAGACACACTTGATATTATAAGCGTTCTGATGGCTTTTTATCTTAATTGTTATACCTCATGTATGACATATGCTGGCATACGGTGGGACGTACTTGCCGTATGTCACCTTGTGCCAGCCTATTATCAGTGTGCTCATAAATTATACAAAATGTAACTTATCCAACGTATGGCAGCGTTTTTGTAGATTTTCCGTACGTCAGTCATACGCTGGCTACATCGTCAAGGTGTGACAAAAGCTTAAAGGAAATAAAGTCAATAAAATCTAACAAATTCTGGAATAAAATTAAACTGTTTGCCTATTTCACATTAGTGGACGTCTCTGTTTCTCCTTTCCTAATGTTTCAGGAAGGAGTTCTGGGCTCCAGGATTTGTGATGATGATGAACAGGAAGACGTTCCCCTCCTGAAGGACCAGACCTCTCCTTTGAGCGGTGAAGACGAGCCGCTGGCCAACAACCTCAACACTGTAAGTTCAGCAGCGTGTTAGAACAGCTAAATCAAAGTAATCAGTAAAATTACTCATACATTCTCAAAACGCTGATAAGTGTTATTTAAAAGTCAGACTGTTGTTGTTTTTCCCTCTTTACGTTTGTCCCTTTTCTTCTTGTTTTCCTCTCTATGTTTTGTACTCAGCTGACTTTTCATGCTGTCTCTAAAGGAATGAAAGATTTTTTCCAAGCACTAAGCTCACTTAGCTGATTGCTCCTTCCTGTGTTTCCAAAAAGGCCAAAGTAAATAACCCAGTCCTTCTTTTCACTGTAGACAAGCCATGATCTGCTTCTCTGTTCTCCATTTTTCATTTGGATGAAATAATAGCTGCATGAATCATGACACCAGACAAGATAGAGGAGAGCAGGAGGCGGGGTTACCAATCTACTCGCTCTGGAGAGCAGAGTTCGCTGCTTTTAGATGTTGTCTCCAAAGTCTCCAGTAGCAGAAAAAAGTCTCTAGATTTGGCGCTAGGAGCTTTTTAGAATCAAAGTGCTAGAGGGGTCTGAAAAGTGGCTAAATATAGCGACTAAAGCGCTAAGTTAGCAACACTGCTCTTTGCATGGTTTGTTTTCAAATGGTTTGCTGCTGTCTGTTTGGACCTTTCTGAACATGTGCAGCAAATGGACTGATCCAATATGGTGGACACTGAAGGGGGGGCTGAGACACACTTAAAGGAATAGTACACCCAAAACATGATTAGCCTTCATTTTCTACTCACCCCCATGCTGAACAACACTCTGGAGTACTTTTCTGATATCTCAAATGTATCTGGAGATCTGGGAGGCTTCTTGCTGTCTGCTGACATTCAAATAATGGAGGTCTATGGCGCCCGAGGCAGAAAGGTCCATAAAAGTCCAGAAAAAACGTGTCAATATTCCTCCATACTGCTCGTCCAATGTATTCCAAGTGTCCTGAGTGGGTAGCATCCAGAATTTACTTGAAACGAAGTCATTTAGAATGTTTTTAGAGCATAAACAGTAGTGTATAGGATTTCCTAAAAGCGCGTTCACGAGTCTACAGAAACCGCGGCAGACCAAACCAGATGAAAGTGCGCATTCAGCGTCTGCTCTGCCGATAATGCAAGCGTAGAAGAAGAAATGTGCTGTTTACCTGTGCAAAGAAAGAAACAACGAAAGAAAAATGTCTGAGGACTTCAGTGTTGAGGAAGAGCATGAGTTCTTTGCCGAGCTGAATGCGCACTTTCATCTGGTTTGGTCTGCCGGCTTCCGTAGCGTCGTGAACTCGCAGGCGCTCGCTTTCAGGAAATCCTATACACTACTGTTTATGCTCTAAAAAACATTCTAAATGACTTTGTTTCGAGTAAATTATGGACGCTAGCCACTCAGGACACTTGGAATACATTGGACGAGCAGTATGGAGGAATATTGACACGTTTTTTCTGGACTTTTATGGACCTTTCTGCCTCGGGCGCCATAGACCTCCATTATTTGAATGTCAGCAGACAGCAAGAAGCCTCCCAGATCTCCAGATGCATTTGAGATATCAAAAAAGTACTCCAGAGTGTTGTTCAGCATGGGGGTGAGTAGAAAATGAAGGCTAATCATGTTTTGGGTGTACTATTCCTTTAATATTATCAGCATTCTGATGGCATTTTAGTGAAAGGATTTTTATCAAAATATAATTAATGTGCACAAATAAGGAATAGTTGCATTAACCATACATGGAACCAGATTTTTATGGGGCCCCCAGGAACTTGGGGTCCTAGGCAACTGCCTAGTATTGCCTAATGCAGTGGTTCCCAAAGGTTTTCTTCTGGGCCCCCCTTTGGATTACAATACAATGTCCCACACTTTGGGAACCACTGGCCTAACGGTTGAATCCCTGCCTGGGCACTTATAATGGTAATGAAGGTAATGATAAATATTTAAATGATGAAAGTAGATAGCTTGTAGGAGTGGTTTTATGAGTAAACCAAAAACCAAAGGATAACCCACTTGCTCGGTTTAAATAAATTTTAACATTTGAAATGCTAACATTTAGCAGTTACGGTAAAATTAGGCTTTTTAAATAAAGGTGTAACAGTGAGGAAAATCTAAGTTGAGGCTCAATACAGAGGCAAAAAGAAACAAAGCAAGGCAGGATTAAAGTACATAAAAACCTAAAAAAAACAAACAAACTGAAAGCACTACTGAACTTTAGGGGTGGAACGGTTCACAAAATCCACGGTTTGGTTCGGTTCATGGTTTCGTGGTCACTGTTTTCAGTTCGGTTCGGTATATGTTGAACGTTAAGAAAATTTACTATGTCTTGTATAGTACAACACGTGTTGCACAATGCTTGCACACTGTTGCACTTTTATCCGCATCTTTCTTTCCGCCGTCATCGTAGGTCACTCTAAATGCAAAGTGGTCCCATACAGCAGACCTATAAAGTGCTGCTGGCGCGTCTTCCAACTCCTGTTCTTTCCCACTCGCCATACCCAGGGCCGGTTCTAGCCCTTTCGTTGCCCTAGGCGAGATTGAGTTATGCGCCCCCCCCACTTTTGCCGTGCGAAATACCATTACTGTTTTCAGCATCTGTTTAGTGCTTCATTGAGTTGTGTTTACAGTTCCACAAAGAGTGCTGTGCGGTGAATTGTGCCTACAGTTGTGCAAAGTGTGTGTTACAAAATTGCAAATTGAGTGCAAAGCAGTGTTTGTTCTGGAGTGATGCATAGACAAATACCAGAATAGGTTTCAGTACCTTTTCTTTTTTATTATTTTAAATAATTTATTACACACTCAAAGTTAGGACTGTGCAAAAACACTTTAAACCATCTGTAAGGAAACTGACGGACGCTTCATAGCCGGTTTAATTCGCTTTTTTGCTAATTCTATGATTAATGGGAAGTAAGTGTAACGCTTATTAAGGCTAGGCGCCTGACTACAGCCAAAAATAATAGGCACTCAGATAGGTTCGTCTATGGAGCCCGTGGGTGTGAACAAAATACATTTAGACAAAAGTATGTTTAAATTGTTGTATTCAAGTTTGAGTTTTTTATATATATATATATATATATATATATATATATATATATATATATATATATATATATATATATATATATATATATATATATATATATATGCAATATTAATAATATTTATAATAACAGTGATTTTCTATAATATAACCAAAAACACAACAAGGAAAAAAAAAAAGCTCAGCAACAAAAACAATAAACCCTGATGTCACCCAAGAGTTTCTATTTTGGTCCATTCATGAATCCAGGGTGATCAACAGTCCATCAATCAATATCTGATTGATTGTTTTGGGTTTTGTTTGTCCATGACCCAGGGCAAATAGGTCCAGAATGAAAAAATAGCTTGGTTCATTTAAATCCTACCGCGAAGCTGCGGTGATCCGGTAGCTCGCCATCCTGACGTGACACAGGGGGTGGAAATAAACCCTGACCTAAACAAGGTCATAAATAAAAATAAAACAAATTAGCTGTCATGTTTAAACATTGTTAAACTGTTATCCAAAATAAATAAACATTCAACAATTACAAAAAATTAATAAATAACTACATTCCATAAAGTGTTTCTCATGAATTTTTCAAATGAATTTCAAATTAAAGATCGCGATCAAATTTAAAGTTACATTCAGATTCAAATCAAAGGGTTAGCCTTATTAAAGTTAACTAACTAATTAAGTTAACTAACCTTATTAAAGTTACCGGTACAGACCAAATTAAAGTTACCAGTACAGATCAAATTAAAGTGCACTTTCAAATTATATCTAAGTTTAATTGACGCAGTCAATTGACTTCCATATCATTTCAATAAACAATTGTTTTTTTTTTTCTCTTATTTCGTTGCGCAACTCCACAAAAAAATGACCAAGCCCAGAGTTCCATAGGCCGTTAGCAAAAATAAATAAAAAGTAACTAAAACTGTCCTAAAAGGACGAATCTACAAAAATCAAAAGGCCTATTTAATATTTTAACAATATATAATCTATTCGGCCACAAAACTAACAAAAGAAAATGACCTTTTAAATCAATAAATAAACTTTTCAGTCATTAATGCACAGACTAAGTGGGCGTGTCGCCACCGCACTTCTATTTCTAAAGAAAAACAAAATAAGTAAATTAAACGACTCACCGTCGAGCGGTCGGCAGAAAACACCCAATTTAATCCTTCGGCCGTCTTAGTAAGCCTCGACCCAGCCGTATTCTTCTATAAGTTTAGAAGACGCCGAGACGAGCAGCTAGCCACAGCGACAGCAGCAACAGCGATTCATATCCGAGTCACCTGTGACCCGGAACTTAAAGGGTGCTGTCAGTTTGACCCGCCAAAATAAAATACGGGTGGAAATACGGGTTTCTTGTGCAGGTTACATAAGCCTAAGGGCGACGCTAGAGGGCGCCCCCAACACATTTGTCGCCCTAGGCAATTGCCTAGCTCGCCTATAGCAATCGCCGGCCCTGGCCATACCCACACAATTCTCCACAACAACTGATTTTTTTCTGCTACACCCGGCTAAGCTGCTTCGCTTCTTCTTCGTCTTGTTTACTACTGGTGGTTGGCTTTGGTCGCAGTACCGCCACCTTCTGCTCTGGAGTGTAAACGCTTCGCCTATGAGAAAAAGGAGCAGCGCATGAACCGAACGAAACACACGCGAACCGAACCGAGACAGTCGAACCGAACGGTTCGGACGGTTTTCACAAACCGTTCCATCCCTACTGAACTATAAAGGTTTCTTTGGCATTTTATCCAATGTATTCCAGCATCCAGCTGCCATGCACGTGGGCATTGTCAGTTTCACTATAGCTGTGGTGAATTTCAATGGTGAAGTCCTCTGGAAATCTTCAATAATTGTTGTTGATTGCAGATGTGTCTAGTAGTTCCCATTGATTTAGCTTGTAAAGCGGGGAGAATGGCGCTAGGCTTACCGCACCGTGACGTCACTGCTGGAAGATGGCAGGAGGGAGGGGTTACTATATTTGGGCAAAAAATGGCCGCTCCCAGACTCAGTGATCGCAATGAAAGTTATGTTTTTTTTACTGATTAAATGTAAATTCATTTAATACAGCGAACGTATTCGTTTTAGGTATACATGATGATTCAGTGTTTATTCCTTGCTGACCAGAGTTTTCCTTCTGAAGTCAAACACTCTGCTTACAAAAACTCCATCAGAAAAAATCCTTTCATCACAGCATCTAAAAATATAAAGAGTCCTACTTAGCTATCTCAGGGTGGTTTCCCAGCATTCAGCTCCAGACTAAACAATCATTTGGGTTCAGTTTCTACTGTTGTTTTTTCTTTTAATGTGTGGTGATGTTTTTACATGCGTGTCTGTGTTTATTAGGCGCACAGCACTCCGATTCCAGAGAGGTCTGAAAAAAGGCGATCGCTCCGTCAGAGTCAGGACTTTAGCCGCAGAAATGATCTGAATCTCTGCTCGTCTCCCGACACCGACTACGTTCCTGACTCTGTAAGATTTGCTCTCGCACATCTACATACACACGGTTTCCCATCTCCTCTACAGATCTTAATAGCTATTATACCTCCCCTCAATTAAAGCTTTAGAAACACAACTGCTGGACAAACTGAGTTAATATTAAAGAAGTGAGTTGAACCTGTTTCCTAACTTAATGTTTTAGGGTTTTTTAAGTTTAAAGGTTCTATCTTGGCTCTGTTGATCCACTAGTAGGCTGAGGATCATCCTAACAACCAGAGTTAAAAAGGTTCTTAAATCCTTCTTCTTTATGCTGGTGAAGATTCTCAGTCATCCAGGTCATAGTTATTCCAAAAAAGTAAAAAAAAAACAATCCACTGGACTTAGTTTCCAAGTTTGAAGACGTTTCTTTTCCCATCCAGGAAGCTTTTTCAAGGAGGTGGACTCAGATTTCAGCTTTCAAAAACCTACAATGCAGCAATTGAGTTGATTCCTTCCTGCTATCATCGCAGCCCCCATTCCATTACAGGGGAATGGAAGACCTCGCCTGTTCAGCCAGGCCAACAATTCCCTTTAATGACCCCCCTTTCAGAGACATAGACAGGTATGGGGCATTGCAGGCTGACAAAAGAAGCCAAACGACCCCCATTCCAAAGGGTTTGACCCGCTCGTCTGTATCAATTTGCATGTTTTCTGAACAAAAAAAGGGCTTTGTTGGCTTCTGTTTAAAGCAGAGGTCACGGATTAGAAAAAAAGTGTTACGAAGTTTATGAGAAGAAAAGAAAGGCCTCAGAAGAGGCAGATATATCCCAGAATGCTTTGTGAGGAGAGCTCTCCTTGCAAAGCATCATGGGATTTGCTATAACAGCAGCCTGCTATCGCTATAGGCTGTCACTACCCAACATAACGAAAATGGCTGAGGCACCGCGCGGTGGAGGAGGAGTTACGTGACCAATGGAGCAAAAAGTAGTGATCATCAGTTAACTGAGTTCACTATAAAGTCCACTATATATTACCTACTCTATATAGTGATGGAGGGATTTATGGGTTAGAGCGCACGGTCAGGCACAGTCAGCTTGTATGAGCTAAGAGAACACCAACTTTTAAACAGAGCGTGCACGAGGAGAAATGGGCTTGTACACGCTCTCGCATGCATTTAATAGGCGCTCCCTCTGGGGAGTGGGTACAGGGTTGTGCATGTGCATTTCTTTTTATGGTTCTAATGGTTCCTGAATGTTACCACTAGCTATACCACATTTTATACCTGCTGTTTGTCATGGTTATTTACCATAATGTTATAAAACTAAGGATGGCTGTTACTTCCATTTTAAATAGGAATAAAAACTGAAAATAAGATTCCCAGGGGCGCCACCAGGAATTTGGGGCCCCATGAAAGACAAGGATTTGCTTCACTCCTATACAATTATGTTAAACCTTTACCTTTCCGCTAAGGGAAACATATTTTCCACTTCACATTCTGTCCTCAGCTGGAACTCAACAAACGTTGCATGCCTGAGTTGGGTCTCTTTCAGAGGCAGTTTTTCCATGGCATATTCAACAGCCCCAACCAGAAAGGCAAGCACAGCCTTCAGTGCTGACATCTCTTAACTAGACAAAAATTTAAAAAGTAAGAACAATACTGTGGAAATACAATCCTTCTTACCGATATTGGTCTCAGAAATCAAACAGAATTTGTTTAAACTCTCCTCTGCTACTGGAAACATGCAGTGCAGGCAGAAGTTCAAACCCCACATCAGCCACAAATTCTGATGGTCACAGATTTAGCTGTAATGCCAACTTTGGCCTCAGTTGTAGCATCCATCCATACATTTTCTATCTCCAGATCTATGGGCGTCTATGGGCGAGAGGCGGGGTCCATCTTGGACAGGTCGCCAGTCCATCACAGGGCAACACAGAGACAAACAGGACAAACAACCATTCACGCACTCACTCACACCTAAGGAGAATTTAGACAAGTCAATTAACCTAACAGTCATGTTTTTGGACTGTGGGAGGAAGCCGGAGTACCCGGAGAGAACCCATGCATGCTCAGGGAGAACATGCAAACTCTGTGCAGAAAGACCCCGGGCCGGGAATCGAACCCCGAACCTTCTTGCGGCAAGGCAGCAGTGCTACACCCTGCTCCACTGAGCAGCCCTTAAAAAATAAAAATCATCCTTTCAAAATAATAGCGGCTTATTTAGAACAAAAAAAAAAAAATAGAATTTGTATTTTAAGAATATTTCTACATTGTTTTGCTCTAAACTTAAAGAAAGTGCAGATGATGTTAATGCTGGCACTGAGGATTTATTTTTGCATTCATGTATACATATAATGACAATAATGGTCAATCTGTTCATGCTTTGTTTCGCTTTTTAATCCTGATCAGTGAGAACACAAAGATAATTTATTTTTAACAGCGGGTTTATCTTTTTAAATTTGAAATATCTAGTGGGACTCATGTTTTCTTCTTCTTTTGGGGCCCCTCTCAGTCCCCCCGCACAAATACCTTCAGGCAATACGGGTTTCTGAGAAGGCAGAGATAAGTCGCCTAGAATTAGAACAGGACATTTGTAGAGATTGCATATAAACACCACGAAGCGAAAAGTTCCCATAAAATCTCAAGGGAAGTACTATTTGCTTCTGCATCTTTACACACTTCCTGTAAAAGCAGGACCTAGGGAGCCTCCTCCCCTTTCCGAAAAGCCCACAGTGTGCTCTAATTAGTCAGCTCTACTAACGGTATCAAACGCTGCCTACCATACCCAGGGAAGCCAACTCTTCCCTACAAGGCTGTATCTCAACAATCAACAATTAGGACCAGAGATTAGAGCGTCTGATGCTTAGTCATTTTCCTGGGTTTACTCTGGCAATGATGGATAATTACAAAAACACACAGTAGGTTGGGTGGCTGGTTCTCTGTAGTGTAAATTAAGTAAAGGTCTTTATTTAAAGAAAGGGGTCTTTTCACGCAGTATAGTTTCTGTTTTGGACTGTATGACATCAGAAATATAGAATAAAATGATTTTAATCTGTTCAACTGGAAAACATGAAATGAAGATTCAGAATTTGATATGACACATTCTATGGAGACATTGAAAAAATTTAAGAGGACAATATGATTGAGTAAAATATATAGTTTTATTATCACCTAATGGAAGCATCAGAGTTGAACCCCAGTGGGCCTCAGCAGATGGCCGCTCACACTGAGCCTGGTTCTGCTGGAGGTTTCTTCCTGTTAAAAGGGAGTTTTTTCCTCTCCACTGTCGCTAAAAGCATGCTTAGGGTGAGGGATTGCTGAGTCAATGAGTCGATGCAATCAACTGGTTTTCCTTAGATAGAAAACTTTGAATCAATCTGACTGGATGATCTGGTGAACTGGAAAGTGACCTGAGATGACAGGATGTGAATTGACGCTATGGAAATAAGGGAGCCCATCCAGTTAGTCACAGTCAGAGAAACAGGACTACACTGGAAAACAGACCAAGCTCCAACATCTATAAACAAAGGTGTTGATGGCAGCAGCACAGCTGATATTTCTCTCCAGGATGGAGTCACAGCCAAACAGGAACAGACCAGATGAAGCTACTATGAGAAAAAGCAGAGAGAGCAGAACGTTAGAGATTGTAAGAATAACATAATAGTGAAGAAGAGTAGTGAAGGAAGCCATCTATGTTAAGAAAGAAAAACCAACCTTAAACAGAGGAGCTGGACTAAGGTTCCAGCTTGTTATCATCGCAGCCCCGACCCCGAGCGGAGGAGCTCGTCTATTCAGCCAGGCCAAATTAAAAAGCCAATTTATTGTCTGTAAGGTTTATCACAGGCACACTCAGTAGGGTTAAACAAGCGCACCCTTTCCGAGGCTGTCGTTCTATTGGCTGGAAAGGTTGCTAGGCGACGATCCGATCCAATCTGAGAGAGAGCAAAAAAAATCAGCAAGCAGAGCCTACGGGTTTGCGAGCGTATCTGAGACTAGAGCAGAGCGCGGTTTGTGCGCGAAGAGAAGGAGGCAAGCGAGAGGAGAAAATATCTGTGCAAGAAGCATTAAATCTGAGAGAAGAAACAAAGATTTGAGAGAGAAGAGAAAACATTGGAGAGAGAGCGCATGTTTTGAGTGTGAGCGTTATAAGTTTTTAGTGCGAGAAGATGAAATTCTTTTCTCAAATTGAAATTGTGTGCCCTTGCATTATGGCAGGATAATTCTCCCATACAATCTAGGAAAAGAAGTCCAGTGGATTGTTTTTTTTTACTTTTTTGGAATGACTATGACCCGGATGACTGAGAACCTTCATCAGCATAATATTTAAGAGCTAAAAAAATAAACAATAAAATACTTTAACACAAAGTGTTTTGATAATATAGAACAACACCTTACTGTAAAAATGTCCATAGCTGTATATTAGTTATTTATTCTCCAGGTGCACAGTTCTAGTGTTTTCTTTAATTTATCATTTAGGATTCGAGTCCCCAGTCTTCTGTTGCCACCCCTCCGTACACCCTGAACCCCCATATAATCGGCGCAGAGGACGAATGCTTTGACTTACAAGACCAGGTACCTAAAATAAAAATATTAACGATCTGATTTACTTTTCAGAGAACATGACACACATTGTCTGATGCACTGATTTTAGGTAAATGGTGAGTGCAGCTGTTTTCAGAGCATCGACTCGCTCAAGTCTCGACCGGCTCACCTAGCAGTCTTTCTTCATCATGTGGTTTCCCAATTTGAGCCTGCTCCTCTGGTACGTATGCAAGCAGATCACAGCCTTACCTATGAGTTTACCAGTATATTTATTTATTCAGAACACTCACAGTAGTAATAATACATAATAATTGACAATGAAATGATTATATACAGAGATACTTGATCAATAGCAAATTAAACTACTTTTCCAGTAGAGAAATTATGGATTTTTCCACATGGTTTTATTGTCAACAAATTTCAAATACTTGAATTTATACCTGGTTAAGGTTTTCTATGCATCCCTGGTGATAGGAAGAATGAAGAAAAGGTTAAGTTCTTCTAACAATTTTTATGTTTTATATGTAATTATGTGGCATTAAGAGACTTTGTCTCCAAAAACTTTATCCCTAATATGTTTAACCCCTTAAGTCCAGAGGGTCCTAAGCTCCCAAACTATAAATAGGAAATACAGTTGTTTGTATTTGTATGACAGAAAGGAATTGAGGGATGTTTTTAAGGTGGATCCACTGTTTTAAATGTCACCATGTCTGATTTATAGGTGATTAAAAAAAGAAAGAATTAAAAATATTTAGCTTGCCTATTTTTTTTCTACAAAACAGAGACTGCAAAACACCATGAACGCCCATTTGAAACTCTGGATGAACCGTCAGACTTTATAGATCCTCATCTTGACTATAAGTCAACCATTTTTGTTGCACAAACCTTTTAGTGTGCAGTGTGCTAGGCGGAAGTGTGATTTTTGCACAATGCCAAAAATGTGCAAAAATGCATTTTCCACTCATAAGGGAACGGAATTATGCTGATTTATATTATAGGAGACCTGCTGCATAAGGCAAAGCCTTTGCTCCTAAGATTTAGCCGTTGTTTCTTTTAAATTTACCACTAAAATCACCAAACTGGATATAAAATAGCAATATTAGAGCAAGCTTATGTAACGCATGCCGGTTACATCACCTGAAATGGTTGCACAATGACCTCTGACCCTTCCTTGGAAAGGTCTGAGCCTCTACTTTCCACTGCTGGCGGACATTAGGGGGCGTGGCCAGTACTCGAGTTGAGGGGGGATGACGAGTGATGGCTAGCCTGACGTAGTCCGACTCAATTCTAGTCAGAATGAGTCTGATGCTGCTCCATAGGGCTGTGATTATGGGGCGTGTTTTGAACGAACCAGGAAAAAAAATGCCTCTGCACTCAATTGGATAGACCTACAACCAATAAGAGCAACGGAGTGCGTGACGTATGTTAAGCCACGCATAGTTGTTGTCAACAAAAATCAAAGCGTGCAGTTGCACGCCTAGAATAAGAAGATGAGCCTTGGTCGCGTTTCTCTGTTCCTCTTTTAAAATTAATTTGCTGTCGATATCTTCCAGAACAGACCTAATAGCAGAATCTACTCACCCAAACTCTCCAGCGGCAGCCATTGTTGTTGTCACCCAAGCGCGCTTTGGTGACGTGGTTGATTACGTTACTGTTGATCATCTGTCCATCATCGTATAAAGCCCGCCCTGACAATTTGATTGGCCCGCCAGATATTGTGCTAGCATACTCGCGCTACTATTGAGCAATGCCAGACCGAACTTCCCGACCTCAAACGTTGTGGGCGGGACTAAGTTCGGAATGGCACCCAGGCTAGGTGATGGCACCCCCCTACTTAAAAAAATCTTAAAAATCATCCCCTTTCGTAAATGACCAACCCCCCCCATATCATCCCCTGTGACATTTTATCACTGAATGTGTGGATTTCTATTATATATTAACAGTAATAATATCGCCCTTTCAGCATTTGGTAGCCTGACCAAATTACGGTGGCCCATAGGGCACATGCGCTTTAATTTTCAACCTCAGTGGCGCAACCAACGGAGCAGGTAACGGTGTTCTGAACAGCATCACGACCAAACGACAAAGACATCGTGATTTGAGGGAATGTGAAAATAAGGAGGGGAGGGAATCTTCTGCAGGTTTCAGGTTCTAAGTTGCAGAGATCTCCCTCCCCCGCTTAGTTTGAGAAATAATTTCTTTACAATTATGCAAGTCTCTCCACATAATCATTGTTTTCTGTGATTGTGGTTTGAATTTCATAAGTCTGGGACAATAAATGTGAAAATAAGGAGGGGAGGGAATCTTTGGCAGGTTCTAAGTTTAACAAATAAAGCTTCAGAAATGATCTAGAATGGTGCTGATAGCAAAATGAGGAATTGGCATCCACTGAGCAGAAACTTTATTAATCGCACCCTGACTGTAGCGCATCGACTGAAACGTTTCATACATGTAAAATCCTATTATTTCTAATTTATCTGTCCACCAATACTATCAATTTTAAGGCATCCATGTATAAGAAATATAAAAACATTAAGAATATGTTTATAATTTCCCTTTTCATTCATATTTCAATCCGTTTTCTCATAAATGGGTGTGAGTTTAGGGCGATTCCCGCTCCTGCCACAGGGGTGTAATTCTCGGTAAAACACCAGCGTATCTGACATGTAACAACCAGACCATGCATATTACTTTAGGTTAATAGAATATATCAATTAGGCTACCTGTATGTATGTTTCCAAAAAAAAAAAAATAAATTTTACCATCCCCCTTCTTTTCTTTTTTACAACTCGACTACTGGGCGGGACTAAAAATGAACACCTGCTGTTGCATTACCCCTGCAGAGTCACACCCGTCAGGTGGAATTTCTCATTTTATTTGTTTACACAGTTATAAAGCAAGAATTATTTGTTAAAAAAAATAATTTTGAAATAAGTTTTAGAAATTTTAAAGCCCCATTTGAAAGGCGAGTGGATGAAACACCATGTGACTGTGTTTGGGCCATTTCTATAAATAGATCAACATGATCAGGTGTCGTTTGGGACGTGTACCGGGCCCACTGGGTTTAAGGGGTTAAGGATGTATTGACATTGACATCCTGACTAGCAAAGAAAAAAATTTAATGTTTGACAGGTGAATAGATAAAGGTATCTGGAAAATATCTTTCAAAGTTTACTAATAATCAAAGAGCGTCATATATGGAGGCGTGAAGGACACCATTATTGATGAACAGCTGTTTTTCCATGTTTGGGCTGCAAAATAGGAAAATAAATAAAAAGTGATTTATAGTTTGTATCTGTTCTATCAGCTTTGTTATCTCTATGCTGAAATGCATAAGCAAACCAGCTCCAAGGAAAGCCGGCGTTCCTTTATAGAGTTCCACTCTATCTTCTTAGATCGATCAGCAGTAAGTTTGACTTATCTTCTCATTTCTTTGGTCTGTTCTCATTTTCTCAGTCGTCTCTCTCTGTTCGGTTCATAAATAAATTTCTCTTTTCTGTTTTTGACTTCTCTTTTTTTTTTTTTTTTCCAGAACCTGAAGGTACCAGTACCTGAATCAGTTTCATCTGAGTTAGGTAAGGCGTCCAACATTTATCATGTATATAAACGTTATTCTTGTGCACTGAAATGTCAGAAAATACAGAATGTAAAAGAGCTTTGGTTTTGTAAATATAGCTATTTTCTTTAGATTTAGATGTATTTATTTATTTGACTGGGACAGTGCAAATTAATTCCTGCAAATGCACCAGAAGTAGCAAAAAGGCTATTTTTCATCTGTTGTCGCTGGACAGATCTTAAAATTGTCTACCTATAGACAATTTTAACAAGAAGAATTTTGCAGTTTAAAACACATATATAAAAATAATAAAAACAGCTATAAGTATGTATGTATGTATATATGTGTATGTGTGTATATATATATATATATATATATATACCGTAAATTCTCTAATATTGGCCTGTATTCCAATAGCGGCCGGGACTCTAACATTGGCCGGTCTCGCTGTCAGAGGAGGTAAATAATGGCCGGTCTCTAATACAGGCCGGGGCTATAAATGTTTTTTCTGGGCATACCTCAACATTATACTTGTGGTAGTAAGTAACATACAAGTACCACAGCCCTGCGCCGCTGGACGACAGGCCCTGACTGCTGCCCGTCTGCGCGAGGAAGAGAACAGACACGCAGCAGAACAGGAGGAGCGCGAGTGATGAGGAGATTAAAGGGAGAGATGAAGAGGAGGAGAAAAACTGAGGAGGGGAATTAAACAGAATTGGAGGATTTTATTTATTTTTTTTTACTTCAAACCAAGCGAGACATGGTAACTGTACTTTTTCTATAAATTAACCTAGTGTTTTATAGGTTCAAATAGACACAAAATCTCATTTTTATTCATTCCACTGGTAGTCTGTTTTGCTCAAATAGCAATAGAGGCCTGTCTCTAATTCTGGCCTCTATCCAATAAAGGCCTGGACCGCGATGCACTTGAGTGAAATAAAGGCCCGGGCCTATATTAGAGAATTTACGGTATATATATATATATATATAGAGAGAGAGAGAGAGAGAGAGAGATAGATATATATAGATATATAGATATATCTATATATATCTAGATATATATCTATATATCTAGATATAGATATATATCTAGATATATATAGATATATCTATAGATATATCTATATCTATATATATAGATATATAGATATATCTATATATAGATATATCTATATATATATATATAGATATATCTATATATATATATCTATATAGATATGTCTATATATATATCTAGAGAGAGATATATATATCTATATATATCTCTAGATATATATAGATATATATATATATATAGACATATATATATATAGATATATATATATATATATCTATATATATATCTATATATATGTAGATATATATATATATATATATATATGTATATTTGTATATATATGTGTACGGTATATATATATATATATATATATATGTTTGTGTGTATACACTATCGCACCACACATAAAACCTGTTTTGTATCGTCATTGGCGTACTCTTTTAGGTTATAAATATTACCCCAAAATCTCATAATCTATGTGAACTATTTAAGTTGTGAATTAACCTTTTTTTTTCTTGTTTAATTCAAGACTTAGATAGATTTATTTTGTCATTTTGTTTACACAAGTGTAAACAAAACTAAATTTGGTTTAGAACAGCTCTCTAGACAATTTTATTTTTTAAAGTGCAGCTTTGATAAGGTAAGCAGCAGTGAGCAGTGCCCATCATTCATGTTTGCTTGGCAGCACTGATGTCAGACGGATCTGGATAGGGTCTATGGAGGATAGGATTGGATCTATATACGATATATATATATCTATATAAGGTATCTAATTCAGTGTCACCTCTCTCCTGGATTCTTGCATTTTCTTTGTAAATGTTTATTTTTCCTACATTTCTCTTTAAAGTATTTAAACTGTATTCTGGGTGAGAATAAGACTGACAGAGATGACTGATGAGTACTGGCGTGTTTTAGAGAAGCGGAGGCTGGAGCTGATCCCAGAGGAGCTGTGTAAACAATACACTCAGGCGTTACAAGATTCACTCCGTTCAGATCTCCAGAAAAACCTGGAAGACTTCAGGTAACATCCCATGGATAAAAGGTCCAGTCTAAAGTTTTAAAGGAGTCTGAGTGCGTTGGAAGAAATCAAACTGGAAGTCTATGCCTGCAGGCAGAAGCGTAGTATGGGTCTGACCCTGGCTGAAGACGAGCTGTCCAGGCTGGACATAGATGGAGGCAAAGACCTGCCGGCGTTGGAGAAGGAATGCGCCTGTGCCGAACACATCCTCGCAAGGATCGAGGACATCCTGTGAGTGTCTGAGTGGATACGCGATAAAAAAAAACTCTTTATCTGCTGATGTTAATGCGTGTTTGCTTTTGCAGGCCGACGACTCAGTACTCAGAAGAGGAGAAGTGGTGAGAAGAGTAACATTTTCTGTTCATACAACCTCATAGATCAGAAAGTCTGATAGATCCATTTTTGAGAAGTTTTTACCTCTACTTCTCTTTTTTTAGTTTCTAATTAAAGTTCTTTGACTTGTTGAGAAGGAAAAGCCTCATCTGATGATGGTCTCGCTTTTTCAGTCGCTTGTATGTTAATCTTGCTACTTGAGAAAAACAACTTAAGTATATTTTGTATTTTCTATGTCTGCTTCTGTCTCCTTGAACCCCAGTGGGCCTCAGCAGATGGCCGCTCACACTGAGCCTGGTTCTGCTGGAGGTTTCTTCCTGTTCAAAGGGAGTTTTTCCTCTCCACTGTCGCTACAAGCATGCTTAGTGTGAGGGATTGCTGAAGAGTCGATGCAATCAGCTGGTTTTCCTTAGATAGAAAACTTTGAATCAATCCGTCTGGATGATCTGGTGAACTGGAAAGTGCCTTAAGATGACACGAGTTGTGAATTGGCGCTATAGAAATAAACTGACTTGAATTGAATGTTGTAGTTTAGCCAAAAGGATTTTTAATTCCATTAAAAGCTGATTGCTTAAATTTAGAAATTAACGATGATGTAAAACATTTACACTGAAATATTTTACTATTACTATTCATTCAATTTAATTCAGTTTATTTATATAGCGGTTATATTCATGGGCAGTTCTAGACAGGGGCCAACGGGTGCCAGTGCCCCTGTTATGGCCCCTGTACTGAAGACATAATAACCAAAGAAATTCTAATGATGATATGCGCTGTAACAGACATGCTTTCTGATAGGTCCTTTTTCTTTACAAATTCTGTTTTGCTGGTTATTTTAAAACAATAAGGTGATCGTTTCACTGGTATTGAGACAGGATCCTAGTTTTCATCTGCTAAACGTTTTATTCAAAACAAATTGCTCTAATTTTTACAACCTAATTTATCAGTTTTTCAAGAGTTCTAATTCAAATTTTATAGAAAATGGTAATTTTTAGCTTAAATTAAATCAGAGTTATGTAAAATTCCTGATTCTGAATGTATATTGACCTAATAAGACATCTAATTTAATTAGATCTATTTGAATAGAAATGTCACTTCATGCAGCTCTCTTAATATATTTGAATCCCTTGTCCTGATTTTTATTTCATGCTTTTCTGTGCCCCCATGAAAACATGCTGCCCCCCTCCTGGCCCCCTGGTACATTTTGGTGTAGAACCGCCACTGATCCAATTTATAACACGTGTCATCTCAAGGCATTTTACAGTTCACCAGATCATCCAGTCAGATTGATTTAAAGTTTTCTATCTAAGGAAAACCAGCTGATTGCATCGACTCATTGACTCTTCAGTAATCCCTCACCCCCCCAGACAGCAGCGAACCATTTGAAAACAAACGGTGCCAATACAGGTGCTAGACCCCTCTAGCACTTTGATTTCAAAAATCTAGTGACTTTTTTTCTGCTACTGGAGACTTTGGAGACAACATCTAAAAGCAGCGAACTCTGCTCTCCAGAGCAAGTAGATTGGTAACCCCGCCTCCTGCTCTCCTCTATCTTGTCTGCTGTCATGATTCATGCAGCTATTATTTCATCCAAATGAAAAATGGAGAACAGATAAGCAGATCATGGCTTGTCTACAGTGAAGTAAAATTCCCCCCGGGCATTTTTTTAGGTATGAAAAGTAGGATGTCTGGTCACCCTACCCCTGTCTGTGTTTGCCTAGGGCCCCAAATTTCCTAAAACCGCCCCTTGGTACTCAGATCTTAGCGCTGTCACTTAAAGAAGCTTAAATGATGTTATTCAAAGTAAATCCATGATTTAACAAGTGGTAAATTTTATTTTCAATAGCCTTTGTCTCATTATTGCTTTTGCAATTATTGTAAAAAATCATGTTTTGCATTTTCACAGCTTCTGTTTGTCTTGAAAAGTTTAATGTAGCAAAAACAATAAATTAGATAAACAATTAGTAAGGATTAACAAACTTTTCCATGACATTTTTATCCCATATAATCCAACAATTATTATTTTGTGTAAATGTGTGCAGCCAAACTATGCAGTATGTGATTAGCACCTATATGAAGCATCTTGGGGTGAAAGTAAAGGAACCTCGCGGCCTTGAACAAAAACGTGGACGCATCCATTTCCTGCCCAAGATTAAGGTGAAAAAGTTTCCTTCTTATTCACACAATTTTCACAGTTTAATGGAAAGTACGGTGGCCCAGAGGTGCCAACAAAAAAAAAAAAGCTGCAACACAAATACAAAAGCCGCAACACAAATACAAATGCCGCAACAGAAATATGAAAACCACAACGGAATGACCTCAAAGAAGATATAAAACTACAACAAAAGTTAGGCAACCGCTGGTCGTTATACACATAGACATTACGTACGTAGACCCCTTATTGTACACTGGCCAACGTGCCTTGAGACCACAGTTCAGACAGCTGCAGTCAGAATGAATATGAGGCTCCTTAGATCTCATTTTATTCACATGAAAGATGAGCCAGAGATAATATAACAATAATCTATTACATGTCACAACCCTTTAAAAGACCAAAAGTAAATTCTAAAATGACCTTTAAGTTAGATTACACATATTCAGATTAAAAAACTATTTAAACTGAACTCAAACTGGATGAAATACATGCAAAGTTATATATTTTGCAATTGAATATTATTATGATAAACACAATGTTAATATATTATAAGATTATGTTTAACAAATATATGTTTATAAAGTATATTATAAATAAAATATTCAGTGTTTTCAAAGATAGCTCTTTGATAATGAGTATTATGAGCTATGGAGGAAACCTAGTTGTATAGTGATTTACAAAAGAGAGTAAAGTTATTTTGTTTTTAAAATAATTTTATGTTAATTTTTATGTTTTTATGCATTTGTGTTGCGGCTTTTGTATTTGTGTTGCGGCTTTTGTATTTGTGTTGCGGCTTTTGTATTTGCGTTGCATCTTTTGTGTTTATGTTGCAGCTTTTGTATTTGCGTTGCAGCTTTTGTATTAGTGTTGATACCTCTGGGCCACCGTAGAAAAGATGTAAAGTCATTTTTTTTTATTTGATGACATTTCGATAGCATAACCTTTATTATCTTTGTTATTTTGCAAGTAGAGAGGTAACAAACCTGAAAAGGATAGTGATGAGAAGCCAAAGAAGCCTCGATTTCCCAACATCCTTGTTCCACGTTTGAGCAGAGTGGACTCCACGTCATGTGAGGAAAAACTACTGGTTATATATAAAAATGTGTACGTGGGTTAGTTATGTATGGAAGCCCAGAGCGGCCGTGTCCCTCAGATACTTTTTCACTGTAGTTTTCTCAAGAAAAAGAGTTAATTTTCTCAATATCTGAAGATAACAAAGCCATTTTCTCGCGATAATGAGATGATTGGTGTGTGTTAAAACTGATTCCATCCTTTGTTTCCACAACAGCAGGAGAGGATTTATACGTATAAGTCATGGCAGCTTATGTGGAATCTTGTAAATAATCCTTAGTTTAACTTAAAGGTAACGAGACGACGTTATTGATTTAATGATTTGCTTCCACTTCTGATTCATAAGCAATTAGACCTATGCCTCCGGCGCCTTAGCGCAGGGCCTCTGTTTTCCGCCTTTAAGTGGTATACGATGAGTGAGACCATCCTGATCTCGCAAGCTTTCAAGGTTTCACTCGCTAATCAGTCTGGAGACTCTCAGTTGAAGAACATTTGGAGCCGTTCACCAAACGAACGTCCAATCAGCGTTGGCTTTGAGGCGGGTTGAGGTGTGACGCAACGAGAAGCGCGACAGTTCAGTCTAAAGAACATGGCGGCTTCAGCCGATGAAACTAGCGTTAGTGTGGCTATCGAGCAAGTTTTATGGGAATTACAGAGTATTTTTTCACTGAAAGAAGAGCAAAACACTGCTCTGGAGGCTTTTCTCAGAGGAAAAGATGTTTTTGCTCTTCTCCCGACTGGTTTCGGCAAAAGTAGCCTGGCTTGTGGTTGTGTATTCGTCGGCGCTCTGTTAGTACGTCATATGCTTCGTTGATCTGATTGGTTTATTTGGCCCGTCTATCACCAACATAGGCCAATCAGCTAACCAGTATTTTCGCCCATTCCCAAAATTACTTCAACGGAAGGTTTCTAGATGGATATGCGGAGCAAATCCATCTGGCGGAGTCAGGTTAGCTATAAGATGCATTAATCCCCAAAATGAGTCCAGATTAAAGATTTTAATTACAAAACAGTCAGATTTGTTTCTACTGTATTCCATGCAATCCAATCATCCACCACGACCTGACAATGAGTGAAAAGAAAAACAAAACTAAAAAAACTGATTATCTGCAGAAATGCGATACCGCGACTGCACAACTATGGGCCCCGCAGGCATGGATAGACTGGGAATCCAGGGCTGTTGGCCAGCCTCTTTCATTACTCAGACAGGTTAATGATCTCGTTATCTCAAGAAATCAATAACTGTTTTCTCGTTATAACGAGATAATTATGTCGTTATCTCAAGAAGGCAAAGAGAAAACAAATAGAGGACGGCCGCTCTCGGCTTCCGTAGTTATGGCCTCAATCTCTGTATATATAACTGTGATATTTTACCAATTCATTACAACTTAACTACAATTTTTTTTAAAGGGCTTAGATGTTGATGCTAGGATTTATATTTGTTTGCGGTTGTTACTACTGAGGTAAAATAGATAATGGTAACAATAGCCACATATAGAATAGATAATAGATTTTTTTTTAGAGCAGAACTGCACAACTTTTGACTCAAGTATTAGCCTTTATTTGAGATATATTAACCCTTTAAAGCCCGATCCAAGAATAAAACAAAACAGAAAATTACTTTTTTTTGGTTTGAAGTCGTTATTTAGCCTGTTAACAAAATATGTAAAAAGAAAAAACAGAAATACATTTTTGATATTAATAATTTATTACTGAGTGATAAGTCAAGATTATTATTTGTGTAGTCTTCTACTGGCTGTTATCAGGTATATCTGATTGTGTACAATAGGATTTTGAGCAAAGTTTTTACCATTAAATTATGCAAAAGGTGTCAGAGGCAAAACATTTCAGAAACTGTATGTATCAAACACGATACATTTGGCATGACAGGGTTAAATGATTTTTCAGGTCTATATAGAGCACTTATGGGCTGGCCAACTAACTGAGATAAAAATGTATTGTTAGGAAACAGAGCAGAATTTACACTTAGTTGCTCTGACTTTTTTTTGTCTCTCTGATGTACATGTAGGATTTAACCTAGAGGAATAAATGTGACCTTGTCTTTAAAGGAAAAGTCCCATCAGCAAGGAATAATCAATGGATCATTATTTATACCCAAAACGAATACGTTTGCTGTGATTTAATGAATTTAGCCTTAATCAGTAAAAAAAAACAAAAAACAACAATTTTCATTGCGATCAATGAGTCTTGGGGCAGCCATTTTTGCCCATATATAGTAGCCCCTCCTTCCTGCCATCTTCCAGCAGTGATGTCACGGTGCGGTAAGCCTAGCGCCATTCTCCCCGCTTTACAAGCAAAATCAATGGGAACTACTAGACACATCTGCAATCAACAACAATTATTGAAGATTTCCAGAGGACTTCACCATTGAAATTCACCAGAGCTATAGTGAAACTGACAATGCCCACGTGCATGGCAGCTGGATGCTGGAATACATCGGGTAAAAGTGAAAAAAAAAAGAGTTATTCCACCTTTCTGATTCCTGATCCTCCACGGACGGGTTGGTCGTTGGATCGCCAACTTGAAGAAGGAGGATTTGCCATCGAACTTCTGGCCAGAGAAAAAACCCGTAATATGTAGCCAACATTTGGAAGAAGAATGTTTTCAAGATGACTTGGATAATAGCGCATTGTGACAAACCCCAGATACAGCACTGGGACTTGATCAACAGCCGATACCGCACCGTGACGTCACTAACCAGTAGGTGGCAGTAGTGTTCTTTGACAAACATGGATGCCTCCAGTAAAGCACATTCAAATGAAAATTACTCTGAATTAAAAACACTGATCATTTATTGAACAGGATGGAATCATTTCATATTTAAAGAACTTTCAGAAGTTTGAATTCTGAACATAACTGGACTTTTCCTTTAATAGCAACTTGGTGTCTTGTTAATTTACTGATCAAAAGGGGTCTACTGAGAGGTTGCAAAAGACAGAGGGAGAATGTTTGTTTTTGCGACAGTAAAGCGCTACCAGTGGCCTTCAGGCATGTGCCGTTTTTCAAAAGTGACATGCCAGATACCACTTTGAGCTTTTACTGTCACTATCTCAGCAACTGGATACAACTGAAAATAAAGCCAACTTAAAATGACTAAAGACAAGGTCCCTGGTCAAAGGTTTGACCAAAGGGTCGCAAAAGTTAAAATTAATTGAGAAACTGATATATTTATTGAATTACTTTAAAGGAATAGTACACCCAAAACATGATTAGCCTTCATTTTCTACTCACCCCCATGCTGAAAAACACTCTGGAGTACTTTTTTGATATCTCAAATGCATCTGGAGATCTGGGAGGCTTCTTGCTGTCTGCTGACATTCAAATAATGGAGGTCTATGGCGCCCGAGGCAGAAAGGTCCATAAAAGTCCACAAAAAACGTGTCAATATTCCTCCATACTGCTCGTCCAATGTATTCCAAGTGTCCTGAGTGGGTAGCATCCAGAATTTACTCGAAACGAAGTCATTTAGAATGTTTTTAGAGCATAAACAGTAGTGTATAGGATTTCCTGAAAGCGCGTTCACGAGTCTACGGAAACCACGGCAGACCAAACCAGATGAAAGTGCGCATTCAGCTTGGCAAAGAACTCATGCTCTTCCTCAACACTGAAGTCCTCAGACATTTTTCTTTCGTTGTTTCTTTCTTTGCACAGGTAAACAGCACATTTCTTCTTCTACGCTTGCATTATCGGCAGAACAGACGCTGAATGCGCACTTTCATCTGGTTTGGTCTGCCGCGGTTTCCGTAGACTCGTGAACGCGCAGGCGCGCGCTTTCAGGAAATCCTATACACTACTGTTTATGCTCTAAAAAAATTCTAAATGACTTAGTTTCGAGTAAATTCTGGATGCTACCCACTCAGGACACTTGGAATACATTGGACGAGCAGTATGGAGGAATATTGACACGTTTTTTGTAGACTTTTATGGACCTTTCTGTCTCGGGCGCCACAGACCTCCATTATTTGAATGTCAGCAGACAGCAAGAAGCCTCCCAGATCTCCAGATGCATTTGAGATATCAAAAAAGTACTCCAGAGTGTTGTTCAGCATGGGGGTGAGTAGAAAATATTGAACCGGTTCCATAATTAATGTCAATGATTGCACAGGCCTTTGTATAATTGTTTATTAATGCAAGGCTGACTATGTAAATCCTAATAAATAATCCTAACCAAACTTTCGCTAATTTTGTTGAAGACGTTTTAACACCTCCAGGAGCATTTGTCAATTCTGCTGGCTCGCACCAGAGTAATCTCTCGTTGGAGCGCTGATACCATACCATACCATACCAACTTTATTTATGAAGCACTTTATGCACCGGACAGGACCAAAGTACTGTACACAATCATAAAATACGATAAAATTATAAAGTAGAAAAAAAAAACCTGAGTGTAAAATACTTATTAGTATAGAAACAGAATAAATCAAAGTAAAACCTCTCAAATTGTGCCAAAAGCCAAGGAAAAAAGACGAGTCTTAAGAAGGGACTTAAAAACAGCAAGAGAAGAGGCCTGTCTTATGCTCAGAGGCAGATCGTTCCACAGCTTAGGAGCTGCCACAGAAAAAGCACGGTTCCCCTCTGAGCTTGCATTTTGTCTTTGGGACCCTCGGAAGCAACTGATCAGCTGACCTGAGGGCAGTGTTGTGGTCAAGACCACCTAACCCGAGACCAAGACAAGACCAAGACTTTTAGGGTCCGAGACCAAGTCAAAACCAAGACCAGCGCCAGTATGTGACAATAAAATGTGAAACATGATCAAAATCACTAAAATTTATCAAAAAGACCCACATTCACATAAAAACATATAGATATTTAACACACAGAACTGGACTAAACATAAAAATTTTTATTTAGTACTTCTGTGTAGTAATCAAAATAGTATTTTCTCTGCCGTTCATGAACAGTACATACATTTATGTTGTTTTTAAATGTGCTATTTCAAAACAACGTGCAAATGTGTAAAACTGAAAAAATTCCAATCATTTCTCTTGTTTCTCTCTCATATACAGATTAAAGCTATATTATATAACTTTTGTTAAATAAATCTATATCTGTCACCAAGTTGTGAAATATCTTTTGAGACAGATAATTTGTTGAAAAAATAGATTGATCTCCTTCACTGCATTTACCAATGAGACTATGAGGTTATTGCTGGGATTTGAATCCAAGCATCCAATAAAAAGAAGGATCTTAAAGAAACTGATAATATTCTGATGATTAGCGTTGGTTCCAATGTTGTGGTCTTGACCGGTCTTGAAATAAAATGCAGAGTCCTCAGCGCCCGAGACAAGACCGAGACCAAATGCGGTCAAGTCCGAGACGAGACCGAGACCATCAAAAAATGGTCTCGAGACCAAGACCGATCTCGAGTACTACAACACTGCCTGAGGGAATTTAATAGCTCAGACAGATAGGAGGGGAAAAGCCATTAAGAGTCTTAAAAACAAATAAAATAATTTTAAAATCAATCCTAAAATGTACTTGCAGGCAGTGTAAGGAAGCTAAAACAGGGGAGATGTGGTTGAATTTTCGTGTACCTGTTAAAAGACGTGCAGCAGCATTTTGAACCCTCTGAAGTTGGGAAATATACAAGTCACTGACCCCTGCATAAAGTGAGTTGCAGTAATCCAGGTCACAAATGCATGGATCCCTGTTTTACGTTGGCTAGCTGCCTTAAGTGGAAAAAAGCTGATGTATTTAAGCAGCATGGAGGTCTATCCTCAGACGAAAACAAAGAGCCAAATTGCATCTGACTCAGAATGTGTGCAGGAGGATAGTTGTTGAAAAAACTTCAGAAAACTGACTTAAAGTCCGCTTGCCTTCAGATTTTAGCCAGTTTGTGTTTCTGCCATTTATTTTTATCTTTGCAATACCTAATGAAGTGTTCCAGCAAGTCACTTCACTTCTCCCTAATGGATGAGAAATGCAGCTAATTATTTAATTTCAATACTTTTAACATTCATCCTTTCATTGGCATTAGCAAATATAACTATTGATATAGACCAATATGCTCCATTTCTGCAAAGTCATGAGTTCTCATTTCTTCCTCTCTGTTGTTACTCTGTTGTTTCTGCAACAGTGAAAAATGTGGAGATGAATAAGCAGCGCTCTCCAAAGTTCCCCCAGCCTGCTTTTGTTATCCCTGAACCGCCCGACCATCCGGTCTTGAATCCTGGAAGAAGCCGGACGAATCAGCTCAGTCAGGGATCAGATACCAGCACTCAGTCCATCCTTTCTGTCAGCTCTCTGGGTCCGAGCTCTTTGGACTCCACTGGACAGGAAACGGACTCCAGTAAGACGTTCCTGTTTCTCCCTCATGGCTGGGTTTGGGAAATCTACATTTATTTTGCAAAAGCATTTTCCTGGGAATAACTTATAATAGCTAATTTACTATTGTGTTAAACATTGCCTTTTGAATAAATTTGTGGGGAAGTCATATTTAAATGTCATCATTCTGTCTTAAACATGTATGTAAATGTACTCTTTATTAGACAATAATGTCCCAAAAGTTAGAAAATTTCTGTTTCTGTTTTTCGTTATCTTCTGCAGGCCAGTTAGTTCTACGTCAGCCTGAACACCTAAATTCGGCCAATCATTTATCAACAGTCATCTGTCAATCAAATTTTTTCACTCAAAGCATCTTGATTCATATGTCGCAGCTAATATATGCAACGGTTGAAACCAGAATCCTTTCCTTTCCCATTGAGTTGCGTCCCAGTGTTCACGGGGATGGACGTCTGTGTCTTCGGCAGGCGTAGAGCTAACAGAACTGGCAGCGTTGCGAGGCAAGGGCTCAAACATGTACGGCTGGAAGCCTTCTACACCAAACCAAGCTTCTGCCGCCCTGGCGTCCTCTTCCACAACATCTTCGTCCCCGTTTTCCTCCTCTAAATAAAAAATGGATGACGGAGGAGACTCATCCACGACCTCCGACACTAAACTCTCCTCCTCTTGCATGTTTCCTCTGTCCATAGCGTTCCTTGACAGCGTCGTTTCTAAGTCACCAATTTAGTGCTACTTGGTCCCAATGGAATTTCCCATTGGGAACCTACTAGCACTAAGTTGCTAACTGGTTAGCGAGATGCTTCCGACAAACCGGCCACCACCAAACTAGCTTGTGAACCTTCCGCCATACACTGGAAAAACTATCTAGAAATAATTAGATTAGATTAGATGAGCTTTATTGATCTCACAGCGGAGAAATTCACTCGTCACATATTGGCATAGAAGTTACAGAAGGTGCAAACAAGGAGGAAAAGGTGCATTAAGAATAAACAATATATATACAGTAAAGGTATATACAGTATATCAAGATAAATAAGGATTAAGGTGCAATGTACATGTATTACACACAATAAAAATAAGAAACAAAATAAGAAATAAAAAATAAAAATATGTACAATCCGGATGGCTTATACACAGGTGGATTTACTTTTACGTTAAAGTGTAGTAGGTAAGGAGCAACGGTGAGGTAGTGGTATGACTATTCTATTGGTAAGTAAAAACTTCTTAGATTAAGTGTATTTACCCTTAGTTTAGCAGGTAAATAAGATAGTTTGCCAATGGAATGAGTATTTTTACTCTTAAAATAAGATAACTAGATAATATGCACTTGAAATAAGACAATGCAATTGTGTTTTCTTATTTTAAACGTAAATTGTCTTGTTCCATTGGCAAAATGTCTCTTTTACCTCCTCTATCCAAGAACAAATGCACATATTTTAAGAAAAAATGACTTGTCTAGATTTCGATTTTTTCAAGTGTAACAATCCCGCCCGCTTAATAATCGACTAATCACATTACCTTTTTTCACTGGTGTAAAGTCGGGCACCACTCAGGAGAATTCGTGAGAAATGGTTGGAACAGCCGCTACAACTTCGATTTCTGCTTAATGATAAACTGTGGTGTCATTAACCAAAACGTTAGGCCAAAATAGGAAACCAGTGTGTAAAAAAGCACAAACTGTATCTGAGTGTTTTGTTTTAATGCATTTGTTTCCTTTTTACTCTACAGGTGTCTCTCCAGTCTGTGTTCAGCCCAGACTCAGTGATGGTGTGCCGTCTGGAGAACACCAGGAAGGCCTCTCTAGTCCAACCAGCATTCACTTTGACTTCAGCCCCTCCAATCTGGACCACCGAGAGGAAGATCAGGAAGTCCTTAGGTAGATATATAGAGCTTGGCTTTTCCCCTGAACCCTTTCTTAATGGATCAGAGAAGCAGTTGCTCATTCTGAGCTGCATTTCAATCCTGTTCACATGCATTTCTGTTAATCTAAGGTTTTAGGAGCAGGATAACTGTTAAGAAAACTTTACAATATTGCCATTTTCAACAGCTCAACAAAACAAGCAGAAGAAAATGAACTTGATTGTATTTCTCTGCATGAACTGTGAAAAACAAAAAAACAATGTTTTTTCGTTATTATAGCAAAGTGAGAGCTTTGCCACACCTGCAATGGATGCAGTGCAAATATCACAGGAGTTTAAAAATCTGAGCTTTTTGCACCTTTAGCCATCTTGACAACCAATCGGATAATAGATGTGACTGTGATGTAGGCTGAAGACGCACAACACAAACAAAGCTTTTGTCAATTAAAATGGAAGACAGAGGAAATACTTTATAGAAGGATGAAGTAAGGAATGCTTTTAAGGAGTTTTTTAAAAGTCGCTTTAGTTTAGCCCTATAAGGAGTGTTTAATCAGTCATCATTCCCTTAGCTGAGGAGCAGACCCACAGTAGCCGTAACTGGGAGTACTGGCTCTTATTTAGCCTCTTTCGCCTGGGGAATTCATCCCCAAACTGAGGCTCAGCAGAAAGTGGTTTTGATTGAGCCGTAGATCCAGAACTCCCTGAACTGGAAGCATCTCAGGAGGATCTGGTGGACCCAGGGATGCCAGCACCAGCAGCAGCCCTGTTTGGATTTACAAAGTAAACTAAAAACCGCCACTCATGAACTCCAGGCCCGCCATTTTGAACCTAAATTCGCCACACAATAGATTAAATGACTACCAAAAGTGGCATTTTTATTCATTTCTATGCTACATGCTGGTGAAGATTCTCAGTCATCCAGGTCATAGTCATTCTCAAAGAAAGTAAAAAAACAATCCAGTGGACTTTGTTTGAAGTTTGAAGACGTTTCCCTTCCCATCCAGGAAGATTTTTAAATTTAAAATGTCAGGAATAGCGTTGAGTTCCAGGTTTTCTACAGTAGCCCAACAAAGCCTTGTTTTTGCGCTAATTTAAATGAATAAACGGGTCCACCCCTTTGCAATGAGGGTCTTTGGCTTCTTTTGTTAGCCAGTAATGACCCATACCTGTCTATGTCTCAGTCAGGCCAAAAATATAAATTTTTGGCCTGACTGAATGGCCTGAAGAAGAACTCGCCTCTTCAGCCAGGCCAACAATTCCTTCTAACGACCTTCTTCTATCATTTCCAGCTTTTTATTTTGTTTCAAATCTACTTTTACTGCTTTAAAAATAAATCTGTATTTGAAGGTGGATTGTAATCGAAAATTGTTTCTGACTGATGACAGAATGGAGGTTCAAACTATGGTGAGTTCAGCTGACATCCAAAGCGAGGACGACCAGGGAGGAGAGGTGGAGAGTGAGGAGGACCCTCTGAATTGGCAGAGACTTGTCAGTCAAGGTGTCTTAGCGAGTCTAACTTCGAAGGAAATCAAAAGACAAGAAGTCATCAACGGTGAGGCGACAGCATTCCTAGTAGGGATGCATGATGTAACTGCATTAAAGGGGTCATAGAATGCAAAGACGAGTTTCCATTGTCATAGATGAATAACGATAGTTCAGTGGGTGAAATGGACGTACAGAGGAGTTCAACACCTCCTTTCCTGGACATTTTTGAAATTCCCCCCGGACATTTTTGGGGTATGAAAACAGGACATGTCCAGGAAAAAGAGGCCGTCTGGTCACCCTACCATATCAACAATTTGATGTTTCAGTGAGTGAGTGCTTGTTGCTATGATGCGTCTTTGCTCAGCAGCTTTGCTCGTTGTAAACCGACCAATCAGAGCACAGCTCATCTAAATATTCATGATCATTCCATAAAAGGAAGAAAACCTGTCGTTTCATTCTAGGGCTTTTAACCAGGCTGCATTAGGGCTCATAGAACAGCTAATATGCCATTTTCAGCCCAACCAATGTTACACACCCTATTAGAGACCTGAAGGACCAGATACCCTATAGAATCATTCTATCACCCCTTTAACAACAATAGCGACCATTGTTGGTGATTTATTGTTTTGTTGTTTTTTTTTTAAATACATTTTTTTAAACAGGCTTTGTGTTTGTTGGTTTCCTCTCTCAGAGCTGTTCTACACTGAGCGTGCTCACCTGCGCACGCTGCGGGTTCTGGACTGTGTCTTCTGCCAGAGACTGAACAGAGATGGCATCCTTCCGCCTGATGACATAAAGCACATCTTCATTAACTTGGAGGAAATCATTCAACTGCATGGTAATAACACATCAAATACACTAAACCAAAGGTAACCAATTCAAAATCAGCGAAATAAAGAAAATCATCAACCAGTAAAGGTCCGGAGACATTTTTAATTATACTCTGTTACTTTAAACAGAATTTTACACTGAAATAAAATGCAGGTTTTTATGCATCCGTGTTATACATTGACTTTCTAAATAAAAAATATAAAAAAATATAAATATTTCCATTTTAAAATCTAAAGTGTTTTTTGAAGTAGAGAACAACACTTGTTCAGTTTGGTATATAGACAGTCCACACTTTCTCTGCTCTCTTTTTCTCATCGTCTTCTCCTTCTTTTCTATCGCCAAGTCTGAAAATGCGCAGGAAAATGTGATCCGCCTCCTTCAAGAGTCAGAACAGGAATCACTGGTGGGATTCTGAGATATTCTAACTTACTGGTCTCACTGTGTTTTACAGTTTCCATAACAGAGCAAATGACAGCCATCAGGAAGAGGAGTGAGACCTCTGTGATTGGTCAGATTGGAGATGATCTCCTGGCGTGGGTAAGACTGGCCTCCATTGATTTTAGAGTCCTACTCCAAAAACGATTTTCTCCCATAGAAGCTTTTAGATTAACTGACCCCACATGTTACTGTCATATCCCAACTACAAATTACTTAAACTACCTTCAAAGCTTTATTAAAGTAAGTCTGAAGTACTGGAAAAGGACCCACTGTGTATTATAGGCTTTTGTTTCAAAATTCATAGACACCCTTTTGCTATGGGGCACCGTTTATAAAGTCAAGCAGGCAATATTTATTGTTATTTAGTGCGTTTTAGAGAAAAATAAGAGCTTTATTTTTTCCAAGTCATTTTTCACTGTCATTCATTCATTCATTCATAAAAATCTTACTGCTTTAAATAATAAAATAATATTTAGTTTGGAGCTAATAATTTAGTTTCTTAAATAAATGTTTAGCTCCAAACAAAATATTTAGATGCAATTTAAATATTAAGTTTGTTAAATAAATATTTAGTTTGTTAAATAAATATTTAGTTTGTTAAATGAATATTTAGTTCGTTAAATAAATATTTACCTCCAGACTAAATATTTAGTTTGTTGAATAAATCTTTAGTTAAATAAATATTTAGCTCCAAACTAAATATTTAGATGCAATTTAAATATTTAGTTTGTTAAATAAATATTTAGTTTGTTAGATAAATATTTAGTTTGTTAAATGAATATTTAGTTCGTTAAATAAATATTTACCTCCAGGCTAAATATTTAGTTTGTTGAATAAATCTTTAGTTAGTTAAATAAATATTTAGCTCCAAACTAAATATTTAGTTTGTTAAATAAATATTTAGCTCCAAACTAAATATTTAGATGCAATTTAAATATTTAGTTTGTTAAATAAATATTTAGTTTGTTAAATGAATATTTAGTTTGTTAAATGAATATTTAGTTTGTTAAATGAATATTTAGTTTGTTAAATAAATATTTAGTTTGTTAAATAAATATTTAGTTTGTTAAATAAATATTTACCTCCAGGCTAAATATTTAGTTTGTTGAATAAATCTTTAGTTAGTTAAATAAATATTTAGCTCCAAACTAAATATTTAGTTTGTTAAATAAATATTTAGCTCCAAACTAAATATTTAGATGCAATTTAAATATTTAGTTTGTTAAATAAATATTTAGTTTGTTAAATGAATATTTAGTTTGTTAAATGAATATTTAGTTTGTTAAATGAATATTTAGTTTGTTAAATAAATATTTAGTTTGTTAAATGAATATTTAGTTTGTTAAATGAATATTTAGTTTGTTAAATGAATATTTAGTTTGTTAAATGAATATTTAGTTTGTTAAATAAATATTTAGTTTGTTAAATAAATATTTACCTCCAGACTAAATATTTAGTTTGTTGAATAAATCTTTTGTTAGTTAAATAAATATTTAGCTCCAAACTAAATATTTAGTTAAATAAATATTTAGCTCCAAACTAAATATTTAGATGCAATTTAAATATTTAGTTTGTTAAATAAATATTTAGTTTGTTAAATGAATATTTAGTTTGTTAAATGAATATTTAGTTTGTTAGATAAATATTTAGTTTGTTAAATGAATATTTAGTTTGTTAAATGAATATTTAGTTTGTTAAATAAATATTTAGTTTGTTAAATAAATCTTTAGTTAAATAAATATTTAGCTCCAAACTAAATATTTAGATGCAATTTAAATATTTAGTTTGTTAAATAAATATTTAGTTTGTTGAATATATCTTTAGTTAAATAAATATTTAGCTCCAAACTAAATATTTAGATGCAATTTAAATATTTAGTTTGTTAAATAAATATCTAGTTTGTTAGATAAATATTTAGTTTGTTAAATGAATATTTAGTTCGTTAAATAAATATTTACCTCCAGGCTAAATATTTAGTTTGTTGAATAAATCTTTAGTTAGTTAAATAAATATTTAGCTCCAAACTAAATATTTAGTTTGTTAAATAAATATTTAGCTCCAAACTAAATATTTAGATGCAATTTAAATATTTAGTTTGTTAAATAAATATTTAGTTTGTTAAATGAATATTTAGTTTGCTAAATGAATATTTAGTTTGTTAAATAAATATTTAGTTTGTTAAATAAATATTTAGTTTGTTAAATAAATATTTACCTCCAGGCTAAATATTTAGTTTGTTGAATAAATCTTTAGTTAGTTAAATAAATATTTAGCTCCAAACTAAATATTTAGTTTGTTAAATAAATATTTAGCTCCAAACTAAATATTTAGATGCAATTTAAATATTTAGTTTGTTAAATAAATATTTAGTTTGTTAAATGAATATTTAGTTTGTTAAATGAATATTTAGTTTGTTAAATGAATATTTAGTTTGTTGAATAAATATTTAGTTTGTTAAATAAATATTTAGTTTGTTGAATAAATCTTTAGTTAAATAAATATTTAGCTCCAAACTAAATATTTAGATGCAATTTAAATATTTAGTTTGTTAAATAAATATTTAGTTTGTTAGATAAATATTTAGTTTGTTAAATGAATATTTAGTTCGTTAAATAAATATTTACCTCCAGGCTAAATATTTAGTTTGTTGAATAAATCTTTAGTTAGTTAAATAAATATTTAGCTCCAAACTAAATATTTAGTTTGTTAAATAAATATTTAGCTCCAAACTAAATATTTAGATGCAATTTAAATATTTAGTTTGTTAAATAAATATTTAGTTTGTTAAATGAATATTTAGTTTGTTAAATGAATATGTAGTTTGTTAAATGAATATTTAGTTTGTTAAATAAATATTTAGTTTGTTAAATAAATATTTAGTTTGTTAAATAAATATTTACCTCCAGGCTAAATATTTAGTTTGTTGAATAAATCTTTAGTTAGTTAAATAAATATTTAGCTCCAAACTAAATATTTAGTTTGTTAAATAAATATTTAGTTCCAAACTAAATATTTAGATGCAATTTAAATATTTAGTTTGTTAAATAAATATTTAGTTTGTTAAATGAATATTTAGTTTGTTAAATGAATATTTAGTTTGTTAAATGAATATTTAGTTTGTTAAATAAATATTTAGTTTGTTAAATAAATATTTAGTTTGTTAAATAAATATTTAGTTTGTTAAATGAATATTTACTTTGTTAAATGAATATTTAGTTTGTTAAATGAATATTTAGTTTGTTAAATAAATATTTAGTTTGTTAAATAAATATTTACCTCCAGACTAAATATTTAGTTTGTTGAATAAATCTTTTGTTAGTTAAATAAATATTTAGCTCCAAACTAAATATTTAGTTAAATAAATATTTAGCTCCAAACTAAATATTTAGATGCAATTTAAATATTTAGTTTGTTAAATAAATATTTAGTTTGTTAAATGAATATTTAGTTTGTTAAATGAATATTTAGTTTGTTAGATAAATATTTAGTTTGTTAAATGAATATTTAGTTTGTTAAATGAATATTTAGTTTGTTAAATAAATATTTAGTTTGTTAAATAAATATTTAGTTTGTTAAATAAATATTTACCTCCAGACTAAATATTTAGTTTGTTGAATAAATCTTTTGTTAGTTAAATAAATATTTAGCTCCAAACTAAATATTTAGTTTAATAAATATTTAGCTCCAAACTAAATATTTAGATGCAATTTAAATATTTAGTTTGTTAAATAAATATTTAGTTTGTTAGATAAATATTTAGTTTGTTAAATGAATATTTAGTTTGTTAAATGAATATTTAGTTTGTTAAATAAATATTTAGTTTGTTAAATAAATATTTAGTTTGTTAAATAAATATTTAGTTTGTTAAATGAATATTTAGTTTGTTAAATGAATATTTAGTTTGTTAAATAAATATTTAGTTTGTTAAATAAATATTTACCTCCAGACTAAATATTTAGTTTGTTGAATAAATCTTTTGTTAGTTAAATAAATATTTAGCTCCAAACTAAATATTTAGTTTAATAAATATTTAGCTCCAAACTAAATATTTAGATGCAATTTAAATATTTAGTTTGTTAAATAAATATTTAGTTTGTTAAATGAATATTTAGTTTGTTAAATGAATATTTAGTTTGTTAAATGAATATTTAGTTTGTTAAATGAATATTTAGTTTGTTAAATAAATATTTAGTTTGTTAAATAAATATTTAGTTTGTTAAATAAATATTTACCTCCAGACTAAATATTTAGTTTGTTGAATAAATCTTTAGTTAGTTAAATAAATATTTAGCTCCAAACTAAATATTTAGATGCAATTTAAATATTTAGTTTGTTAAATAAATATTTAGTTTGTAAAATAAATATTTAGTTTGTTAAATAAATATTTAGTTTGTTAAATGAATATTTAGTTTGTTAAATAAATATTTAGTTTGTTAAATTAATATTTAGTTTGTTAAATGAATATTTAGTTTGTGAAATAAATATTTAGTTTGTTAAATAAATATTTAGCTCCTCGCTAAATATTTAGATGAAATTTAAATATGTAGTTTGCAAATTAAATATTTAATTTTTAAATAAATATTTAGCTTAAAAAAATTACTGAACTAAATATTTAGCTAGCACCGAGCTAGCTAAATATTTAATGAAGGAGAATGGGGTGGCTTTCTCCCTCCAGTAGTAAGGGAAAGCAGTCGTTGCTATGGCAACACAGTTACGCCCGTGTGCGTGGCTGTTGCTCTGCCTCGCAAGTTAACATAACATTAAACATTTGCCCCTTTGTTAAAACAAATGCATACAATCAAATAAAACTATGTCAAAGAGGACCTTGCATTTTGGAATTAATGATGTGATTTCCTGTCGCTGTCTACGGCATCAGTCAAGATGCCGTAGGAGGTGTATGGAGATTCCCAGGCTTTTACTTTGGTAGTTCACTTCCGCTTTTCGGCTAGGGAAGTTGCTTATTCGCTAAATATCCATAAATATTGCTCCTAATTTTTTACTGCTTAACTTTACAAACCACGCCCCATATTTTTTCTCCTACTTGATGTCTTACCATAAATTTAAGATGAACAATTTGATATTCCCATAAAAAATAGGATCAAATGCAGCCACGTTGCATAACTTGAATTTAAATTTGTAATTTAGTTCAGCGAGGAGGAAGAGGAGAAGATAAAAAGAGCGGTGGGAACTTTCTGCAGCAACCAACCATCTGCTTTGGAGCTCATCAAGACGAGGCAGAAAAAAGACCAGCGGTTCAACCTGTTCATGCAGGTCAGTGTTAAACCTCCACCACGGTTCTTTTCCACAATGCCAGGCTTATCTCTATGATGAGAGCTGTAGGGTCTATCAGAAATTGCAGTCTAGAGAAGTTACTCATACTTTTTGGATAAGCTAGACGCCATGACCTATGACTACCTTAGACTTAACATTTGTCAACGATCAACTAACTTACCTGTAACTTAAGCCCCACATATGGCATACACTGACATACATCGGGAAATTGTGATCATGTTCAAAAGTTCTCGACATGCTTGCCGTATGTCGACGTGTGCCAGCGTGCTCATAACTTATATAAAACATACCCAGTAATCTAGTTCTAAAAAAAATAGAAGGGGGGTGGTGGATTTTTTTTTTTTTTTTTTTGGAAGCATCCATAGCCTAATTTATCTAGTCTATTAACCTAAAACAATATGCATGGTCTGGTTGTTACATGTCAGGTACCTCGGTCATTGACCTTACATACATACCTACATAGTCGGCATGGCTATCATTGCCCCTACATAGTTAGCATGGCTATCACTGCCCCTACACAGTTAGCATGACTATCACTGCCCCTACACAGTTAGCATGGCTATCACTGCCCTTAAAAGGTTTTGGGATGGCCCTTTTACTGCCACTACATTTTTTAAACCCTGGGTAAACACTGCTCCTACATATTTAGCATGGCTACACTGCCCCTAACAAGTTAGCATGGCCCCCATCATCCCGCCCCTACAAAGTTGGCAGGCTATCACTTCCCCTAAAATAGTTTTTGCATGGCTATCACTGCCCCTACATAGTTACCTGGGTATCACTGCCCTTAAAAAATTGGCAAGGCCCATCACTCCCCACTACATAGTTGGCATGGCTATCACTTCCCCCACATAGTTAAAATGGGTAACCCCCTGCCCCTACTAGTTTTGCATGGCCCCATCACCCGCCCTTAAATAGTTGGCATGGCTATCAAATGGCCCCTACAAATTTGGGATGGCATCACAATCCCCTACAATTTTGCATGGCTTTACCTGCCCCTTTCATAGTTTGCATGGCTATCACTGCCCCTTTAAAAAGTTTTGGGATGGGCTATCACTGCCACCTACAGAATTTGGCCATCCAAACACCCTTTCCCCAAAATAGTTTAAAACATGGGGGTATCAACCCCCGGGCCCCTACAATAGTTTTCATGGGGAATACTCCGGGCCCCCACAAAAATTTTGCATGGCATCAATGCCCCCTACAAAAATTAGCCTTTCTATCACTCCCCTTAAATATTTTCATGGCTATCACAAACTGGCCCACCAAAATAATTTTGCATGGGGGTAAACCTGCCCCTACCAAGTTGCATGGGCTATCCCCTGCCCCCTTAAATAGTTTTTTGGCAATGCTAAACACTTTCCAACCCAAAAAATTTTGGGCCAAGGCCCATATTCCCCTAAAATAGTTTAGGGGGTTTTTGGGTTAAAAGGGCCCCCCCTGGCCCCCCTACCCCCTATTTAAAACATGGCAACCCCTGCCCCTTACATAAGTTTTTATTCATGGCTATTTACTGCCCCCAAAAAGTTAAACCCTGGGCTTATCCCCTGCCCTTTTAAAAAGTTTCATTTGGGTATTTACTGCCCCTACATAAGTTAGCATGGCATCACTGGGCCCCCACAAGTTAGCATGGGGGGTTTCATGGGGAAAAGGGAAAACATGGTTGGGTGGAGGGGGGGGGGGTTTGGGAATTTTGGGGGATGGAAAAAAAAAGGTGGGGGGGGGGGGTGTTTTTGGGAAAGGGGGGGGGGCCCCGGGTGGGGGTTTTAAGGCCCCCCGAAAAAATTTTGGGTTTTGGGGGGCCAATTCCGGGATTTTTTTTGGGGGTTTGGGGGGGCCCCCCCGGGGCGGGGGGTTTTGGGGTTTTGGGGGGGTTGCGGGCCCCCCCCTGGTTTTGGAAGGGGGGGGGGCTTTGGGGGAAAACCGGGATTTGGGGGGGGGGAAATTGGGGTTTGGGGGGGTTGGGGGGGAAAAGGGGGGGGAAAGGGGGGGGGTTGGTTTGGGGCCCCCCCCCGGGGAGGGGGGTGGGGGGCCCCCCGGGGTTTGGGGGGGATGGGGTTTTTTTCCCCCCATTTGGCTTGGGGGGGGATTGGGGGGGGGGGGGGCCCCTTTTAAAAAAGGGGACCCTGGAAAGGGAAAACCCCTGGATTGGATTGGGGGAAAAAAAAGGGGCATGGGGGGCCCGGGGGTTTTGGGCGGGGAAATTTAAAAAGGGGGGGGGGGAAAAGGGGGGGGCTAAAAGGGGGTGGGGGGGGGGGGGGTTGCGGGGGGGGGTTTCCGGTGGGGGGATGGGGGGGGGGGGGGGGCCCCCCCCGGGATGGGGAAAAGGGGGGTTTGGGGTCCCATGGGGGGGGGTTGGGGGGGCATGGGGGGGGGGTCCCCAGGGGATGGGGTTTTGGGCCGGAAAAAAAAAAAGGGGGGGGCCCCTGGTTTAACATTTGGGGGGGGGGGGGGGAAAATGGGGGGGGGGGGGGGGGGAAGGGGGGGGGTTTTGGGGGGTTTTTGGGGGTTAATGGGGTTTTTCCGGGGAAAAGGGGAAAAAAAAATTTTTTAAAAAGCGGGCCCGGGTAAAAAAATGGGGAAAAAATTTTGGGGGTGGGGGGGGGGGGGTTGGGGGGGGGTTTTTTTCGGGGGGGGTTTTGGGGGGGTTTGGGGGTGGGGGGGGCGGGGGGGCCCCGGGGGGGGCGGGGGGGGGGGGGGGGCCGGGGCCTAAAAAAACATGGGGGGGGGGGGGGGCGGGTCCATTGGGGGAAAATTTGGGGGGCTTTTGGGAAAAAAAAAAAACAAGGGGGGGAAATTTGTTTGGGGGGTGGGGGGGAAAAAAAAAAAAAGGGGGTCGGTAAAAAAAAGGTAAAAGGGGTTGTGGGGGTTGGTTGGGGAAAAAAAGGGGGGCCCGGGGGGGGGTTGAGGGGGGAAGACAAAGGAAGAAAAAATTGGGAAAAAATGGGAGGAGAGGGGGAAAATTTTGGGGGGTGGTTAAGGGAAATCCCCCCAAAAAAAGGGGGGGGAAAATGCCTTTAAAATAGGGCAAAGGCTATCCCACTGCCCCTAAAAAACCATTAAAATGGCTAATCCCCCCAGGGGGCCCTTAAATTTAATTCATCCCCCTCCTCCCAAAAAGTTAATGGCCCCAAAAAACCACTGCCCCCAAAATAAAAATAAGAAGGCAATCACAGAAATTTTTTAAATAAAAATTTTTTAGGGTATCAATTGCGAACATAAAATTGCATGGGAAAAACCCGCCCCTCCCCAAAAATTTAAAGGGAAGTAAAAAATTTGGGCCCTTAAAAAAATTGGAAAGGGTATTAAAAAATCCACTACAAAAAAGTTGGGCATGGGAAAATCCTTTTAGCCCCTACATAGTTTAGCCAAAAGCAAAAAAACAAAAAATTTAAAATAAGGGGGTTAGATGGGGGAAATTTTTTTTGATAAATAGTTTAGGGGGGGGAAAAATTTTTAATAAAATTTTGGGGGGGGATTAAAATTTTTTTAAAAATTAAAAAATGGTTAAAAAGGTTTTATTTAAAAAGTTTGGGGATGGGTATAAAATTTTAATTTAAAGAGGGGGGTTAGGAAAAGGGTATATTTGGGGTAAAAGGGGGGGTTAGGATGGTATATTGGGGGGGTTAAAAAAAGGGGGTTGGGGATGGGTATTTATGGGATTAAATAGTTTTGGATGGGTATAAAAATTTTAAAAGTTTAAAAAAAGGTTTGGTATATGATAAAAGTTTTGGGGGGGGGGTATAGGTTAATATTTTATGGGTATATGAAAAAGTTTTAAAGGTTATATGTTAAATTTTTGTTGGATGGGGTATATGTAATATTTGAAAGGTTTATTGGTTTTAAAGGGTTGATGGAATAATTTTTAAAAGTTGGCATGGTATCACCCGCCCCTACACAGTTTTTTATGGCTAATCACTGCCCCTACACTTTTACAAAGGCCTTTTCCCCTGCCCTTAAAAAGTTAGCATGGGTACCCACTGCCCTTAAATAGTTGGCATGGGTTATTCACTGCCCCTACATATTTTGCAAGGCAAACACTGGCCCCTTAAAAAGTTTTTCATGGGTATCACTGCCAATACATAGTTACATGGCATCACGCCCCTACCAGTTAGCATGGGTATCCCTTTCCCTTAAAAATTTTGGGATGGCTATCACTGCCACAAAATAGTTTTGGGATGGGTAACACTTCCCCTACATATTACAAGGCTATCACCCGCCCCTACAAAAGTTTTTGGGATGACTATCACTGCCCCTAATAGTTGGCATGGGAAACACTGGGGCCCCCCATAGTTAGCATGGCTATCACTGGCCCCCCACATATTTTGCATGGGCCCCATTTTAATCACTGCTCCTACATAGTTAGCATGGCTTCACTGCCGCTACATAGTTAAAACAGGCTTTTCACTGCCTTTCCCAAATAGTTTTGCATGGCTATCACTGCTTTCCCCATTGTTTTGCATGGCTATCACTGCCCTCACATGGGGTTTGCATTGGGGTATCACCCCCCTACACATTAAGGGATGGCTACACTGGGCCCCCACTTTTTAGAAAGGCTTCCCTTCCCTACATAGTTGGGATGGCTAACACTGCCCCTAAAAACAGTTTTCATGGGTATCACTGCCCTAAATAGTTTTTGGGATTTGGGTATCACTTCCCCTGCATAGTTTGCATTTGGGTATCAATGCCCTACATATTAGGGAATGCTGGCTATCCCCTGCTCCTACACAGTTAGCATGGCCCCATCACTGCCCCTACAAAAATTAGCATGGCTATCACTGCCCCTACATATTTTGGGATGGCTATCACTTCCCCTACATAGTTACATGGCTATCACGCCCCTACATAGTTAGATGGCCCATCACTCCCCCTAAAATAGTTAGCATGGGGTATTCCCCCTGCCCTTAAATAGTTTTGGGATGGGGTTTTCACTGCCCCTTAAAAGTTGGCATGGGGTATCACTTTCCCCCACATAATTT